GAGATTGAAATAGATACTTAAAGAAGACTTTTAACATACTTTAACCAAAGCAAAATGGCATAGTGGTATACCACATTTCTGTGAAAATGTTTATGCTTTTCAACAGTATTATATCACCATTTTACAGGAAGTTATTTTCATGCATATTCGATGTAATAAGCTTGAATATTAAACAAGCAACAGTTTTTCTTAGATAAGAAGACGAATTTTTGCAGACTGAGTTATCGAGTCTGGAAAAATGTGGGTTATCAAGGTATTCCGATAACACGAAGAAAAATCTGTTAAAAATTATTCGTAGCACTCGAATTATAAACTGCTAATGATAATTGCAATTATCAAATCCATGCTTCAACTCAACCATACGATTGCTTTATGCATGAATGCTGGATAATTACGTTCTATAATGCAACTTAGATTCACTATTACATTAAAAAAAAAAATATATGAAATTATTCGCCAGCATAACGCTGGTTTTCATTATCAATATGTAATTTATAGAATATTTATTTATAGAATTACGCAGTGCAATATGAATTATCTAATAAAGTACTATATAAAGATACACATTGAATTGACAGGTAATCAGAAGAATAACATACGATATTCAACGATGTATCGAAAAAATACATACGCAGATCATGTACACGCCAAATTCACTTGCAACACTTTACGTCAATTATATTAATTACCATTTGTCCAACAGTTGTGACGTACCGGTAATGTACGTCGCCTGACAGAAGCACAAGCCGCGACCCACCGCTAGTTGAAAAACCTGACATGCACCGATAATCACAATAATTGTCCACCCAACCCCGAGTATCTGAATGATATCACTTTTAATACTAGAACCAACAAGAGTTTAATGCGATTAATATGTGATTACTTATGGAAATTAGAGAACCGCCATTTTGGGAGCGGTAATTCCAGTATTAAATGACTACAAAAAGTGTACAAATATTACGATCAACGATGTAATTAAAAAAAAATAGATTACAATACTGAAACTCGAGAACAAAAGTTTCATTCGCCAATAGAAACGAGTTAAGTGGAGTTAAATAATTAACACTGACACAAAAAATTACAAAATTTATACTAGATTTCGAAAAACAAGATAAAACCTTCGAAAATACAAAGAAATTTCTAGCAACAAGTTCTTTTAACAACATTTGTAGACACGATATTCAAGTATAATATTTATGACATTTATCAGTAAAATACCATTTATGTGATAATACGAGGGTCAAAGGACAAAGCCATCGCGTGGTGTGCATTGCATTATCGACGCGGACCTAACACATTCATGTGACATTGAGACCAGACAACTATGTCGCAATCATTGCAGATAGTATAACTATCTTTACCCTTGATCGCTTTAACTACTCTCCAATGAACCACTATTACAAATAATTTTATAGAATAATTTTCTATACGCTTAAAAGGGAAGTATTCTTATTGAGCTACAACAATCCTATACACATTTAATTAAGAATGTATATTATTCTAAGAATTAATATTGTATAATCTTACAGTTCACTTCTATTTTTTATCAGCAAGACAAATGGATTTTTCAATGATCTCATCTTTAGAATTTTCTCTTTTTCACTAGAGAAATAATTTATAAACGTTAAATGAAAACATCTTCTAAGGAGTGAGAAAAATTTACAACTGTACGATAGCAGGCATTAGTCGTATAAAATGTCAACTATAAATTTCGATTTATTCGAATATTCACGTTGTGTGTATACATATGTGTATATCTACCTAATATCGGCATGAAAATATTTTTTATTGAATAAGTTTTTTCCACTCATTAAAAGAAAAGTAGTACCCCGATTATATTATCCATTATCTAAAATTACAGTATTGTCGAGGTACTCGTTAAATTATCATTGCATTACAATGAACAATCAATTTCTTGCCTCCTTAATATAACCGACAATTAAAAACGATCGCTTCTTAAACTTCGAGTGGCGTGATTTAACGTACCAATGAGAAAATTACGAATTCACGGTATGAAGAAAAGTTATCGAGTAAATACGTATGTTATTATAAAACAATAGATAACACGAAAGATAAATTAGTTAACTAGTGGTATAACAATATCGTACACAAAATGAAGAATAAAACAGTTTAATACTGTCGCTATAGCTTATTCGTCGTTCAGCTTGTGATGTAGAATCGTTACTGACAAAACGAAAGATTTTTCATGTAAAATTTTGTATCGAAAATGATTTTGTATATATAATTCAAAATATAATGTTACAGTTTTATTATTATATATTTAGATAGAATCTTAAGAAAAAAAAATTAAACATACGTATACACTTTAACTATTATAACCATACTGTCCTTCCTTAACAGTTTTTATATAAAAGGGATCATCTAGAAACGGCATTGTCTTTGAAAGGGAAAATAATTAAGATAAACGGAAAATCGCTAACTTTTCGAGTTCGAAGGAGAGGAAACTTGTTAGATGCGACTTATTCACAAAGTATGGACTTTACAGATTAGTGATTCAAAAGTTTATTGTATTGTATGTACCGTAATAGTGAACAAATTTGAGCGTTTTCCCACGGATGGCACCACAGTTATTCCGTGTAAACTTCTATATTGGTAACGTTTGTCTACCAGTTTGAGTGTGTTGCCACAGATGGCGCTACCAGTTGAAAACTTATGGTTAATGTGTTACCATAGTGGCTATTATGCCAATTATAAATCAGTTTAGAACCTGAATTTTATTTCTTTTATTTTTGTTATTTTATTTCTTTCTATACATATTAAATTGTTCTATTCTAACTTAATGTATAAACAGAATATTGAATAAAAGAGGAAGCTCTTAAATTAAATTAAAAACAGGAAGTAAAGTATGAGTAAAAGGTCATTATTTTGTACGTTTTGAACTGTTTAAAAAGGTAAATTCATAAAATGTAAGAATGGAATATAAATAAAGAACATATAAAACGAATATACAATGAAAGTTTGAGACGAAAAGTCATGAACTCTGTAGCTTCAGTCACAGAATATGTAGTTCCAAAAATGGAACATCGTCCATGTATCGGTATCGCCCGTTTGAATCAGCAGTGCTTAATATAAACGTTTACATAAAATTGTCTGAGATTTTCAACCATTTAAATTCCACAAACCTTATGTCTATGTATAAATAGAAATCAAGACTTAACTACACTTCAATTAAATTCAATGAATTATTTGTATAATTTAAATGGCTTCTCTATTTTTTTATTTAGTATCATAAGTAATTTACTAATTCAATTCTTAATTATTTAAATTTAAGATATATTAACACTATTTTACCTAAAAATTATAATCAAATTTTACAATATATTTTAATATAAAGTTTATAATATAATTGGAGTAGTATATATACATTAGAATTCCTTCCAAATCTGATAAATGTATTTAGAGAGTAAACGTGTGTGATGCATAAGAAATTCACATGATTACTTAGAAGACTATTAATTAATTATCATCGGTGATTACTTTAAGTGAGAAGATTAATTGTTTTATTTGCTCCGGTGGTGCACCTATTCCTTACATTGAATTTAACACTAACTGTATCGCGAACCGGTTAAACGACCAGTTTTTCTTTCGTTCATTTAAATTTATATCAATTCTTATATTGCCCGATTAATTTAAGTTTCTCAGTTTTTGTCTTTGCATTTGTTTCTGTTTCCACTAAGAAAAATGTATCATCTAACTTCCAGTTATTTGACTGATTACGATAGGAATGAGTATGTACAAAGTGTTGGTACAGTTAATATTAAAGAATAAAATACATAATTGATACTTACATTTAACAGCAGAAAGCGTGTTACAATAGCAGTATAAATTCCAATTGTGTATTGCATATAAATCTTCTTCCTTTTATTTATATTCTTTTAATTTTTTATATCACACAACGTCATACGTTTCGATAGATTCGAAAATGACCGATTCGAAATAGAACTAAATTTTAGTCATAATATCGTGAATAAAGAGCTTACACGAATTATTGCTCATAAACTAATACATAAAAGATTTCGATTAGAAGTAATGCTGACTTGTCTAATCAAATCTATAAAAGAGTCTAATGACGCTAACTATTACGTTGACGAAACATTTGAATAATATTTTTGTAAAAATACGGTTTACAAAAATACACAAAGAGTGATAACGAAGTGACAGTAATAAGTCATATCCAAGTACATCAAAAATGTTTATTTTCTCAAAATTAAACGAGCAAATATAATGGCTGAAATCTTTGACAGCTGTTTAAGAAACATGTGAGGAAACATATTTATAGTTTACGTAGATGTATGAAGAAATACCACGTTTGCGAAAGTTTTAACACGTGCGGTTTTGTAGATATAACATATTCTAATCATGCTAGAGTACATGCAATTATTATTGCAAAGGATAAACAAAATATAACGTTTGCGGAATATAAATATAAATTTTTATAAATATAATAAACGAACATTTTTAAAACGTATCAGGGTAATCTTTCAACCTTTCTCTTTTCTTAATTTTATTCTTAAGTTTTAATAAATTGCTTTTGTATGACCTTATTATAAACTTCAAAACTTAAACATTTTTTATATCTTTTTAAAATCCTTAACATTTAACGTTACTTTTTACGAAAATATTCTTAACTAAATTACAACTTTATATTATTTTATATTATTATATTTCGAATAGAATTTATAGTTATTCACTTATTTCCGATTCTACCTTAACTTGATAAATGAATATATTAATTTAAAAAAGGATAATGTATATAATTCTAAATTAAAGTGACGTATTGTTCAAAAGAATATTTCACGTGTCCTTATTCCGCATTAGAAGTGCTAAGATATAATTTTAAGGATGTAAAATAATGAATTCCTTGAACTATTATTAATGAAATAATTTTATTTCAATTTCGTGTTTAATAAAAATGGGGGTAAATGCACGTGTTACCAGGATAGGAACATAAATCACGCATGCGCGAGAGATGCCTATGGAAGGGGTAAAGCTGTCGGTCTTGCAAAACTCATGGAGGCTGAGAATAGATTCATTATTTTGTACTGTATCCTCAACAACATTTGTGCCAAATTAGACATTTTTTACTTATTGTCATGTGAACAAAAAAACAAATTTTTACAAAGAAACATTTATAGAAGCAAAAATGCTTCAAAATTTAAAGTGAAACTCATTTTTACACAGCAGTATTATCATTATAACAAAGTGGTGACAACTCAGTATTTTATATTTTTAATAAAACATTGAACGACGAGACTGATTGTGGAATATAATACACATTAACATATCGACTGAAAGATTCTATCAATTATATAATAATTACTTCATTGATACATAATTCACTTTTTAGTGAAGAATTATTTCACAACAAATAACAGTATTATAAGTACAATGGTTTAAAAATCTAAGCCAATTAGGTACTTAAATATATTAAGTTTTAATTGAACAAAGTTAGGAGAGGTAATTATTTAGTGGAAGTGATTTAAATACTGTGATACCATCACAAAAAAAAATTTTATAAAATCACATTTAATTCAGAACATTAAGTTTGTACTCAAATATTTTCATAAAATAAAGTATTGAATGGAATTGACTAAAATTTTGTAACAACAAATGTTTAAACAAATCGAATTTTTTCATAATGTACAGAGTATACAAAATTATTTTATATTTAAGAAATAGTTTGTCAATACAATGAGTAAAACTGAAAAAATTTACATCTGTTTCTGAGTGAAATTTACTTAGTAGATACAAAATAAAATTGAAATTATGTATAAAAAAAGGAATTTTATCTTTAATATTGTTTATTCCACATTAATTGCCTATCAAATAAAATTAAATTAAATTAATGATTTCATTTACAAAGAAATAGAACAATCATATCATTCTTATCATATCGTTATATTTTATAAAGTTTAAATTTTTGACTATTCACCTGTTATGTAATTCATTGGTCTAATTCTAAACTTCTGGTACTAAACTGGTTATGAATTTATTGCCAAAGAAAATATCAATAAAATAAGCGTATATTGATATTCAATGTAAATAACATTATACATATGGGTTTCTCGAAGATAATTAAACGTTTGCTATACGCAAACTTTGCATCTTGTAGTTCTAAAGTAATAGGAGTATTAGCACCGTTAACAATACCACCTTTGCATATTGCATTTTTATATTATTTTTGGCAAGAGTATTCGAGGGATGTGGACAAACAATATTGTTCATGTTCATGCTGGGACACAGTATTCAAAGGTAAGTTTGTATTATTGTTAGAAAGTTACTTTCAAAAAATATCAAAGATATTTATTTCAGGATCATATGAATCTGGTATTGCTTCTTATAAACATATGTACTTTAATGCCACTACGAATACTTTAAAAATATGGATAACCATTGTAATTGGAATAATCATGTTTTACGAAACAATGAAACATTTAACATGGTTAGCGTTTCAAAATCGCCTTAGATTCAGTATGATGATACTCTTTTCCACTGCTATTTTCTCCCACTATTACACTTGGTGGGTTTATATGAATTACTGGAACGATGAATTCTATTCTCAGTGGTATCATCAGTTATTCTTCTCCATCACTGAACTGATATCTACTATCTTGGTTATCCATTTGGCAGATAATAAAAATCCAATCACACATAGGAAAGCCTTTGGCATTGCTGCAATAGCTATTCTACATATTGTAGCAGGTGGTTGGGATCAGTTTGTTGCTAATGTTGTCAGAGGAGAAGGTTACGCACATCAGGTAATACTTTCTATAATTTATATTGATTGTACAACACCAAGATATTTCTGAATGGATATAACTACCTAAGATGTGTATAGTTGAATCGAAAAAAGGTGTTGATCTTACTCATTAATTTTCTACTGGCGATATGGACCATTAATGGTCAGTTAAAAATCTTATTTCTTCATAACTTCATTATAATTTTTAATTTCTATTGCAAAATGAAATGAAAATTTGGCCAAAGTGTCATTTGTATATTAAATTAGAAATTATAATAAGTATCTCAAAATATTTTCAAATTTTTATGGTGCTCGCAATAATAAAGATTAAGTCTGCCTATAATAGGTCTATATTATTGGCTCCATTGGTGAAAAACCATATTGTCGGTGGAGGGTTAAAATATTAACTCTCTTTTTTTAATAAAAAAATTCTGATACATGTGTACTGTAATAAACTCTCATGACACCAGCACTAAAAGCACTTTTAAGTACATTTTCAAGAAGGAAATACTAAACACTCTCTGAAAATACCTTCCAGCATTTTCATGATATCTTTTAAAGACATCAATTCCCAGTTCTTATATTTTATTCTCTATATAATAAAATTTAATGAAGTTTACCAAACCATGTATAATATTATCATTCCATAAAAGATTCTCTTATTTCTTCAGTACAAACATAAATTTAAATATTCAGATAATGAATTATGTTTGGTAGGTGGTACGTGACCTTGGGTTCATGATCCCAGATATTCTGCATGTTGGTATTCCTTTGTGGGCAGTTAAATGGAAAAATATATACAATCTTCCTGGTTCAACCAAAAGAGATCCTAGTATTAAAAGAGATTTGGCATATATGTTAGGAATGATATGTATAGGATTGTGCATTTGTGCCATATTGTAATGTTTAAGCAGTTGCAATGCCTAAGAATTGTGTCTTACAGATTAACGAATAACACTTCACTTGATTTTTCTTATACAAATTGATAAGGTGGTTATACAACATTAAGTGAATTTTATTGAGATGTTTAGTGTCTGAATTAAAAGTAGGTACAAATTTAATTTAGTCAGTTGACCCTTAAAACTACTTCTATTGTGAACTTCATCTCTACTAATGTTTTCATTTGTAATAGGTCACATACAATTTTATTTATCATGAATAATGTGGTTTAAAAGATGATTTCAAATGACATTAAACCCTTTTTATCTAGAATGTTTTTAACACATTCTCATATCTTGTGACCCATCAGTGGGTTACGCCTGCGTGAACGTATTATATACATGAATAAATTATAAAATAGTATACAAAAATTGAATGTGACCTTAATATCTTTAGCAGGTGAAAAGACTTACTAAATTAAATTATTCATTATAGTTAATAGTTAACTGATTCACTAACACATTATTTATTTTCTTGCATTTCATTAAATTTAATTTATTAATTTCATAATTGATTAGTAGATACATTATTTGATAATATTAAATTGGAATACCTGTAGAGTACAATTTTGCTTATTAGATATAGTCAACCTTTTTAGACTGTCCATTTTTTATTTTGATTTTTATTTATGTTTCTACTAAATAATAGGTATTTTAAAAGAATTATGATAAATTCATTAAATACAAAGATAGAGTATCCCACGTAAATGACGCAATTAAATTTCTAGATTTCCTCCAATTTTATAAAACTTGTTGCAGATAATGTTTGCATTATTAAAGTATCTAGCAAATACATATATTAATCAGTATTTCTTTATATACATTTTTTCAGAGACGTAGACGTGAATCTTAAATAAAAATATCTTTGTAAATGTATTTTATTAAAATAAGTCATGAAAAGTTGAGCTACTATACATTATACGACTAATAAAAATTATGTAAACTTAGATATAATTCAACTTGAGTTTTAAAATTTCGTTGCTACGTTCACGTGAAGTACCTTGTATAAACACAAGTTTATAGATTACATTTTAGAATAATTGAATTTATACATTTACAGTTTCAAGATGCCTATATATATTTTAGAAGCAATACATATCTTATTCTTTGGAATTGCCTAATTTTAAATATCAATGAATGTATTTTTCATTTAGACTTAGTAGTACTTACAAGAGCCTAAACCATAATTTAAAAATTCTTCAAATGAGATTAAAAAAGTATGTATTAATTTATTTTCGCATATTAAATGCACCAGTTAGATATCAAATACTTTCATGCCTTTATAGTACTTAAAGCATTTGTTCAAAATGTTGAATGGGATATAGTTCAAAATTATATCAACGTAAAACATATCATATATATTGTATGTAGCATATTTCTTAAAACTGGAGACTTATTATGCAAGAAAAATATGTATAAAACTGAATATTGGTAGAAATGGAGTGTCTTTGCTAATGGGTATAAGGCTAGAACAAAGTGCCTAAATGCAACGTGTGTTATGTTCATAAATATTATTATTTGAGATATTGAATACAATATTTAATATGACGATAATAGTAACTGCGGATTTAGGTTTTAGGAATAAAAGAATATTGTCGTATGTGAGAATAAAAGCAGATTTTAGTGAATTCATTTTTATATATGATAGATACAAATTCATTTTCATTGTATCTTAAACATAGTGATTTCAGTTAATAAAAATCTGGATACTCAACTTTTGTACATATGTATACATCAGAAACGAATTACTTAAATGTTGTACAAAAATTTAATTTATTATATTTATACGTTGTTATTTCGAATTAATGTGTTCATTATTTGATTATACATTTCTCTACATAATGTAAAGTAAGATAATATCACATAACACTTAAATATAGTTTTTTATATAACTGATAAAGGTTAGATTATGGATACTTATGCATTTATAATAATACCCAATAAATTAAACAATTTCATATATTTAATAACATTTGCATTTTATTTTCAAGTAAATAAGCTTTTTTATACAAAAAATAAATTTTTCGGTACCGATTTTTGTAATGGAATATATAAAATTATAAATTTGCATATACATCCACAGTCTGCTAAGTAATAATTAATATTGATATTCAGCATATCAAAATTTGTGATAGAATCCATTTTAATGTCTTAAAGTATGAAACATTTTATCTAATTTGCTTCTGTATAAGTTCTACATGACAAAACTATTAGGAAAAATTAGCATTTGAAATTAAATTTTGTGAAATTTAGTTTCAAGGCTTTGATACAAGTAACACATGCAGTAGAATAAATTTTGCAGCAAATTAATTTTCTTATTTAAAGCGATTTATGTATTTCAAGTAATGTGATTTCGTTTAAAATGCATTACACAGATAATTGTAAATAAGTTTTAATTGTAATTGGTAATTGTAAATAAAATTTGTAAAATTTGGTTTAAAAAAATTAATAAAGTGATGTATTTAAATATTACTATTTTTACACGTTTTAAATTCTTTTTGCTCTTAATAATATGATTTCTAATGCAGCCACGAAATAAACTAATACTTAAAAGTATAGTAGCAATTAATATATTGAAATAAAAAAGCTACTTTTGATTAAATATTGAATGAATCAAATTTTATAAATATAGATTGTTCTGAGCAATGTGATTTGTTTAATATAAACATTTATAAAATTTACATAGTACATATCTATTATCGAAATCACTGCTTTTTAAATATTAAAATTAAAATTTCATTTAGTTTACAAATTTATTCTGAAATAAATTTACTAATTTACTTAACCAACAAATGAATATAAGCTATTATGCATGCAATAAATATATGTAGCATATTAATATTTGTTAAGGTCAGGTGTTTATTTTATTGATTCGAAATATAAATAATTTTGATAAAATAATTTTGTAAATTACGCGAACATTAAACAGGTGTTGGATTTATATAGTGTACCACCTGTTGCCATATACAGGGTGTGGCAGGATGCGTGGTTCAACCGGGCAGAAGGTAATTCTAAATTAAAAGTGAACTAGAAAAAAAAGAATAACATTTTTTCATTTGAGGTTTTATTTTAAAAAAACCTCGAACTTGAAGATTTATGAAGTTTATGAGTGTTTAATTTATGAATTATGATCTAATATTATGATGTAATATCAAGTGTACACCTTCTTGTAAACAGGTTTTTGTATTAATGCTTCTGTGTGGTTAAGTTGGAATATTTACGTTTTTTAATCTCTTGCCTTGCAATAACGTGTCCGATTCGTGGTAAAGATTTTAAACATAATTTAATAAGCGTAAATATTACTCGATCTTTCTGAATTCAAATTAAACATTACTCTTTTGTTACCAATTATTTTACTTTAGAGTAGACAGGGACATAAAATATGCCTAGAATTTTTTTTCTCAATAAATTATTAATGACAAAGTAGGTATCGACCATTGCTGAGAAATAAATTGTAGGGCAAGGGGTTACAAGATACGGTGATATCTGCAGATTTGGTTTTGTCTACTTTCAGTCTGTTTCTACCAGTGATGTGGTGACGATGGCGTTTTGTAGCAACTCCAGTTAATACGTATTTGCAAATGTTCGTATAATAGAAATTTTTTACTCAAAAATTAAATACATTATTGTAGAATTCTTGAACACCGCTGTTCAATAACAAATATGGAATTTAATTGTATTTGATAAGCCGATAGTCATCGTGACTTCTGGCTACTTACGATGGACCACAATTAATTGACAAGCAGTTGACTTAAATATTTATTGAATAGGAGTTAGTTACAAAAAGTTATCTTTATATTATTGTTAGCTTTTTTATGGATATAATTAGTTTCTTCTAATTTTTTTGTAATGTTTGTGATTTTGAGTTGGAGTGTTCATAGTAAACTGTAATTAAGAATATTGTTAACAGTTAAGTATTTAGAACATGGTTTTTAAGTCAATTGGAGATCTGTATTAAAATAGTAAGTATTACATTATAACCAAGAAGAATTATTGATGTTAATATGAATTGTTTAAATATTTTTATTTATATTGACTTTTTTATCGATATAATATTTTAAAAAAGGATCGTTTACTTTAATACATTTTACTGCTACTTTTTAAAAAATTAGAAAACCAATTTAAAATTATGAAATTGTAAACATTTACAATAATAATAAACATTTTTTATTTTATTATAACTACAAACATGTATAATGAGCAAACTGATTATACGAAATAGAACGTTGTTTATCACATAAGATATTTTCTGTACTTTACAAGTAGCAAAACGGATAATAACTATTCTGAAATAAATTATCGTTTATAGAATCAGTTGTTCACCATTATTACCATTATTCATTACTTATCATTACTACATTGATAAGCTTCGAATTAATTTACGAACTAAAGAGAGGATTTTCTAAGAAAATAATAAAATCTTATTTATGAATTATTTAGTAAAATAATGAAAACTCATCGAAAAAATTAATAAAATTGTTTAATTTTGATGTGTTGTAATGAATTTTCAATAAAAATACCAAAGGAACATTGAATTTCTTCTAATCACCAATGAATACTTCGTACAATTTTCAAAGAATAGTATATCAATTTCCACATAGTAATGTTTAAAACACCGTTGCGCATGTCAAATGAAAAGTAACAATTCTGAAAGCAGCTTTAGAGTTACAGAGAAAAGCGCAGGCCTCGAATCGATCCTTCACCCCTAAAGTGTCCAAAGAACAACCCCAGCCGGCGACTCTCTTCTCGACCCAACAACAGTTCAAAACCGCCTGAAAGCAAACATGGCACTCGATTTCGCAGCTACTTATAAAGTTCTGATGCTCGGTGACTCGAACGTCGGTAAAACCTGCATTGTTCATCGTTATTGTGACGAACGTTACTACGACACGTATATTTCGACCCTAGGTGAGAAACCCATCGACCAGATCTCACTGCTTTTTTTGTAATAGATCTTTCAGTATTTAAACGATCATCTGATGGCCCGTTTACAATTATTTCTAGGGAATTCTTGTGATTACCAGTTGCACCTTTCTGTTAATTGGATGTTATTAATTTTTCAGTGGAACGAGTTTCGGAATGTTCGGTTGATTTATTCGTGATGACGTTGCAATGCTTCGACCGTGATGACAAGAAGGAGGTTTTATTTCAAATTATATTCTTTATGCAAGAGAGTACCTTTATTCATACTTTCTTGTAATGATGTGCATTTAATAGAAATTTTCATTCAACTAGACTTTTCGACGTCTAATTAATTTTTTGTGATAAGAAACATTAGTGATATATCAATTCCTATTGACGTGTTAGGAAACTCACACTGTTATTTTACGTGAAATTTCACAATTTTTAATCAATTCTATTTATTTTTGTTTGTACCATAATATACTTTGATTCGTAATGCTTGCAGTATAATGTTTCAATTTTGTTCTTCACGATTTACTACAATGAATTATAATGTAGAGGAATTTTAACCCTATATCGATGTTGACAATTGTGCATTTTTCTGCGTGAAATTTTCTAGTAAAATTGTTAGGTGATAATCTGTGATTATAAGGAAATTTATTTCAACAGAATACTTGCATCATTGTATTTGTGTTCTAAAACGAATACTCGAAATTTGTTGTTTTCTTTCTTATTTATTTTATATGGAAGAAGTGCGACAATGTAATTTCTGATTGATGATACTGGAAAAGCAATTTTCGCACTACAACTTTTCTGGAAATTAAGTTCTTTCCTTTAGTTGATATCTGACATGCAATACGAAAGTGGGATGATTAATTATTGATACGTACTACTGTGAAGAAGAAACGATCAAATATAGAATCATGAAACAGTGTTCATAATACTGGAAAGAAAGTAAAACACTAAGGAGTAGAATTTAAACTAAAGTGATTAAATTATATTCTACTGGAAAAGTATATTACACTCAAAAATTTGATACAATCTGAATAATTGTATTACACATATACAGGGTGGAAATTATAAAGCGTTACAGTCGAGTATCTCCGAAAATATTGATTACATGCAAAAATGTTTCAGACGAAAGTTGTGCAATACCGAGGGGGATATCACGTGGTGGAACTTTTATTTTTCCTGGTGGGCACTCCAAGGTGAGGTGAAGATAAACTTTCTTTTTTTAAATGGAATGATACGTTTTTTTATCCATCGTCAAATAGTGCGTTTTAAGACGAATTCAACGACCTATGACTCAAGGTCATTCAAGGTCAAACTTGCAAGGAAATGAAGAAAACGTGTGATCGTTTTATTTGTACTTTAGTTCGAGCCTTCGAACATTCACACAAAAACACAACATGTGTCAATGTCAGCATTACTCAGGACAACATCAAAATCATTATCAATGAAGTGGAAACAAACGTATTTACGTATTACTGTGCTCTTCTGCAAGATAGTCAGTTTACTTTCATTACCATTCGTGCTAAGATATCCTTCGCTGAACGGCAGTACTTAAATAAGTGGTGAAAATGGAAATGTATCAAGATTATTTTGATATGTTTATGGCACTAGGAAAATGCAGGAAAAATTACAAAATGGCCGCTCCGTTCGCCGGATTTAACACTAATCGACTAATTCCTATGGAGTCACATTAAACACTGCGTAATATCCTCTAAGCCTACGACGCATGAAAACATGAAAGTCAGAATACGCGAAGCTTGTGCTAAGATAAATGTTGAAATGTTGAGCAAAGTTAGAGAATCATTAAGATGAAAAATTGTTAAGTGGATTGAAGTAAGAGGTATTCATTTTGAACACATACTAAAGTACAAATAAAACGATCACACGTTTTCTCCATTTAAAAAAAGAAGGTTGACCTTCACCTCGCCTTGGAGTGTCCACCAGGAAAAATAAAAGTTCCACCACGTGATGTCTCCCTCGGTATTGAACAATTTTCGTCTGAAACATTTTTGCATATAATCAATATTTTCGGAAATATTCGACTGTAACGCTTTATAATTTCCACCCTGTATATTCTGTATAATCAAAGCTGCTTTACATTAAAACAAAATTATTTCGTCACAACATAATTGAAATACTTGTAACGAATTGTATGATGATGATATAATTTATTAGAGTTTTTAGAATACATTTACATTTACTGATTGTAAGTGCTTAAAAACCGAATTTCGAGCTATCTAAATGTTTAATGACATCCGTCACAAAGTTTACATAATATTATACTTAATTTTTTAGTATAATTTTACACTTTTTGCTACATGATACTTATAAATAGTATTTTAATTGAACTATTTCATAAACCTAATGCCGTTTGCTAAACATGAATCAACAGGTGTCGACTACAAACAAAAAATAATTAACCTGGATGGAACGCCAATTAAGCTTCAGATCTGGTGAGTAATATGTACAGTCAACCCTCGAATAACACGGTACTTGAGTTGCACGGAGTCTGGACTAAAATTTTGTATAATTAACCCTTTGCCGTACAATAAAAAGTGAGACTAGTAATAAAGACTTCTACATTAATTTAATACAAATCAATGTTGTTCATTGTCCATGGGTCAAAGCAAAAAACTATTTTATTACTACCAATTTATCATTTTCTAAGTAAATTTGTACTTACAAGTGGAATAGAAAATTTGTTTGCGTTTCTTCCAAATTGTCGATAGTAGCGAAAGTAAATAATACGCTAAGGGGTTAAGAAGATACATTCTGAAGTTGTACTGTACTCTGTACTATACTTATATTAGAAATTCAACTGTATCAATATTAAAACACATACTCGAATAACACGGTTTTCAATAACACGGAACCAATTAACTGTGTTATTCGATGGTTGACTGTATATACATATTACATTTTTATTACATTAATTTAATTCTTCTTAATGACATGAGTTTTTAACAATTGAATTAAATTTAATTATAAAATTCATTAATCTTATAAAATATTGAAATAAAGTAGGATTAAATACACTATTACTAATTATTAAATATTATTTGTATAAATATATTTATGTAATTTGTCTTTAACTCTATATTTAGTATGTTAATGTTTGAAGGCATCAGATGGTTTAGGTTCAATAAATAATGGCAAAATGGGCAATGGCTGTTATTATATCATATAAACAATCATTTTATTTTAAAGACACAATAAAATTATGTACAATTAAGTTTCAAGTACAAAATATAAATTCGACGTTCAACAAAAAATGTTTACCTGCAAAGATTTAATATTTATTTGGTGATTAAAGTTGAAGATTTGTGATCAAATTAGAAATATATAGAGTCACGTGTTTGGATATGTTTAAAAGAATTCATTTGATGCACTGTGACATAAATAATTATTTTTATTAATGATTCGTCTGTTAAAGGGATACTGCGGGTCAAGAACGATTTAGAACGTTATGTTCAGCGTATTATCGTGGTGCTATGGGCATTCTTCTAATGTACGATGTTACTAGTTTGGACAGTTTCAATCATCTCTCATATTGGCTGCAAAGCATTGAAGAGGTGAAAATATTAACTTTACGTTGCAGTAAATAAATAATTTCATTATTTGTCAAATAAGGAACCACAAATCAAATTATTCTTCATATCCTACAGCACGAGCTAAGAATATTTTATAGAAATGAAATAAAAATATTGACTAAAATTTGTTTGTCTGAGATGTCACTTAAGGGAAAAATAATTTTATAAATCTTTAATAAATATTATTAGGTTTTAGATAATGAGTCAAATGCGGATTTTTATGTAAAATGTTTCATATGTTTTTTGCATGTTTTATGTGCATAAAAATTCGCAGTATAATAATAAGTAATAATGATAGGCCAAAAAAGTTAATTGTTGAATGGAGAAAATAGTAACCTAAAGTATTAGTAAGATTATGCTGTTATGATGTGAATTTTATATCACAGACAATTATAAAAATATAATAATAACCAAATACAATCAAGCAAAATTCGGTATGTTCCATTATTTTATTCATTTATAATTCATTTATAATGAATATATATACAAATTTAAATCCAAAAAAACAAAAGTAATATAGCATTATTAATATTTCAAATAAACAAAAGGACATATAGTAATAATACATATCGATAAATCGAATTCTATTTAAATTAATTTTTTGGCTGTTGAAATTGTAAGATTACATGTACCGCATTGAAAATAGAAAATAAATGTTTCTGAAGAATTTAATTATTTGATAATCGTATGATAATGACATGTTGCAAATGTCACCCATAATAACATGTAATTTAAAAAACAAGTATTTAATATGATTTTCAAAGATGATTTTCTGAAAAATAAACCTTTGCCCGCCAAACTGTTAATTTTTAAGTGTACTTTCAAATATTAAATATCAAATTTGTTAAGTTTGTTATTTGTTCTAAATATTAAATTTACATTTATTATTTCTCCTTATCTGCGCAGTATGCTTCATCGGATGTAGTGAAGGTATTGACAGGAAACAAATGTGAGGTTACCACACAAAGAGCTGTTGACGCGGAAAAGGGACAAAAGATAGCAGACAATTTCGACATGCCTTTCTTCGAAGTCTCTTGCAAAGAAAATATTAACATCGAAGAAGCGTTTCTTACTCTAGCCAGAAGAATACGAGAACAACAAGGGCGTTCGGTATCGTTATTTCTATTATTTAATAATAGCTATCATAATTATAAGTCCACTTCAGGTCAAATAATGAGGTACATTATATCTTTAAATAAAATTCATTCTATATTATTAAATAAAAATGCGAGTTCAATCAGTCTTGTAACTGTATACCATAAGAAATATTAAAGTGATCGGGATTTTTTAAAAATCAGTATTTTTGTACTCCGAAAATTTTTGATAAAATTTATTAGTAGGAAACATACGTTAAACATATTTTTGTACTGAAACATACTACTAAAGTAATTAACAGGTAAATCCAATTTTATTACATTTCATTATTTCATCCGAGAACAGTAATTTTTTAGACACATAATACTGTGTTGCATCTATAATTCATTTAATGTATTTTCATAATTATCCATA